AGTGTGTACACAAGTAAGCAACTCCTTGTTAACACTTCATCAACAATATATATGTACACAATAATATAGCGAGAGAACAAAGAATATGTACTAGTTGTAACTCAGACATAGAAGATGAATGTCATTTTATTATGTAATAGGTAAATGACTTACAAGTAAAATACATAAAACATTTTTATTTGCGTAAAGTTTGTTGTTGTTGTTCATGATGATGATGATGAATGATGTTGATGAGGACAAATTATAAAACTAGGGTGTGTTGGGTGCATTTGTATTACCTATTATATCATTGTATGTATTTACTATGCCATATCTGTTACCTACATTTTCTATTTAACCAATAAGCTGTAAAGCTTACGGAATAAAATCAATTCAAAACAGTCAAACTGTAAAACATTCAACACTTGTAAGTCCTTCATCGTCGGTGTAGATTTTTCCCAGGCCTTGATTGTCCCTCATCATATGATTATATAATGATGTCCAGTCCTATGTTACCGTAGCATAATTTGTATAATGCTGCGAGCATGCAACCAGTCAGATGTTAGCATGAACATTTGATGCGCTCCCAGTTGAGTTTTTTGTCCATTTTCATACTTTTGGTTCGGTGTAGATATTTCTCTCCGTCCCTCAGTGGACCAGTATGTGTGATATCAGTTAAAGATATTTCTATCCGTCCCTCAGTGGACCAGTATGTGTGATATCAGTTAAAAACAGTTAAATGACATCTCTAGGAACTATTGCTAGTTTTAACATCAACATCATAATATAATATTTCATTTTAAGGGGTAGGCGAAAAACTATTTTACATTTTGGAGGCAAGGCATAATTGCTTAATTAGAAAAATTATTTCAGAATTTTAAAATGAAAATCATGTGTGTAATTTACTTCAGGATGAAGTAACTGACGAAGACTTAAGCTTGAACGACCTCCGACCTGCAGTTAGATTCCTCAAGGTCATACGGAAGCAATCAGATGACCCGAAGCGAACGTTAGATCGACAAAAATCCAACCTAATTGGGTCAAGAGGTATGCTACAGATCTGTTTTTGTTTTTTAACTCCTTCCTACTTTGTTTTGTTAGAAGAATTTCTCATTTATAGCTAAGTTGGAAAATGTGCTTCCTACATTAGTTCTTTGTTAACAGATTGATCAACTCTTTGAAGACTGTTCAGGTATTTTCCTGTCTTTTATATTTAGGCCTCATTTCCTATGATATTAAACATTTTTTCCTACCGATCAAACATGATTAGAACATTTTTTAAAGATCTAAATGATTGAATTTCATATTTTTCTTCCTAATATTAGTTTCCTTTTAGATGACAACAAAAACTTTTGAAAACACTGACCAGGTGATTATAAAGTTGAATGGACCAGATGATAAATGGGCAGACTACCTGAATAGTGAAACATACAAATAGAGATAGAAAATAATAAAAGACATGTTTTTGTTTAAAACAAATCTTAACTTCTGTTTCAGCATTGCATATCATTGAGGCACAGCAAGGGTCAGAGATAGCAGACTTCAGGTCGAGAATGCAGATCATCTGCAATGATGTAACGTGTCATAGGATCGAGGACCAGTCGGTATGTTGTGGTTATTATCAGGGTTCAACCCAAACAAGTTACCAAGACTAATCAGTTTAGAAAAAGGGTTCTCAGTCTTTAAAAGTATCCTTAGTTCCAAAATAACATTCAAGAAATAGCCAAGTCACATATATGTGTCAGTGGATTGATTCAAAATTCAGAAGTATTTGGTGATAAGTTAGCAATCAAATTTAGTTTGTTATAGTAAAGGTGGGTGCAAGAACCATGCCTTGTATTTTATATGTTTCGAGTATCTTAAGGCAGTTGAAATAATTGTATTTATACAACACCCATGCAGGTTCAGGGAAAGAGTAGACCTTCTGTTTCCCACTACTATTACCTCATTCACCCCTGAAGACACATTTGAACCCTTCCAATTCAAAGACTTGGAATAGTTCATTATGAAATTTCAGGGGTGAATGAGTTAATGTGTTGCCTCTTGCAGAATCAGGCATTTCTAGGTCACCTGAGCTTTAACTCAAGTTAAATTTTACATTTTTGACTTAGGCTGAAATACTGTCAAAGGGATTTCATTTATCTTTCCTGGGAATGTTACTGACATCTCTCTGACCAAGTGCTGTTATTTTTCGGGTCCATCAGAAATCCAATATGGCCGCCACGGCCGCCATTTTGAAAACTATTTCCAACTTAAAATTGAGTTCTAATGGGCCGATTTAACTGAAACTTTGTAGGAATAAATGACTCATAGTCCTGACCAAAGTGTTGATATTTTTCGGGTCCATCAGAAATCCAATACGGCCACCAATGCCGCCATTTTGAAAAAAATATTTCAAACTTAAAATGAAGTTCTAATGGGCCGATTTAACGGAAACCTTTTAGGAAAGAACGACTCTTGGTCCTGACAAAGTGTTGATCTCCGGTCTTTTTTGCTTACACTTTTCTTTTTGGTAGTGTATTCCTAAGCACTTGTTTTCATATGACTGTACCTGATTGGAGAATGTTAACTCTGAACCCCAAACTCCCAAATGATATTGTGTATGTATCAACAATTAATGTAATAGTAAAATTGAACATCCATAATGAAAGTGTGCTAATTAATAGATGATGATGTAGCGTTCTGCTGCCTTCACAATCCTAAGTGTCAGATATTTTAATGACAAGGCTGGTTCACATTTGTGAACCATCGCTGTATTCTATATGGCAAGAATTCACCTGTGAACAATTGAATTTCTGTCTTGACAGGGCTGGCAGGCATTTGTGTACAAGTACCCATTACGTCTGACTAACGCTGGTCTCTCTGACGAGGGAAGGGAGGTAATCCAGGAAGGAATTGTTCTCACCGTATATGTGGAGGAACCAACTGGGGTGTGTTTAAATGGTTTATAACTAACTCTTAATGTTATTGTTACATAGATAACAGTTATCTTCATTTAAAATCTTATTTTCTGTAATTACTGTAATATTTTGACATCACATAGCACTATTTGTACTTGGTAATATATTTTTATGTGATTGTACATGTAATTAATGGTCAAAACTAATTAAGGGGTGGAGATAACTTGTTCCCAGAGTTATTCCTAAATGCTCAATAAGATAATTTAAATCATGATGTAAGTTCATTTTCTCTTAGAATCTTAAATTGTGTTGCACAGAACCAAATATCCTTCATGATGAAAGAATCTATTGAAAGCACCCCCTCTCAGCTGATCGCACAGGCTCTAAGCAAGTGGGCTAACAAGACTCGGAATCAGGCTCACATGCCTGACAAATATCTCCTCAAGACTGTTGGACTTTCTGACTATGTCTATGGGGAAAACCCTCTGAAAGAGTATAAGGTAGGAATGTGTCTCCGACTTCATCTGTGGAGAAACTGAATTTAAACCCTGTACAGTAAATAGTTGCAAAGTAGCAGTAACATGTTCTGTCAGGAATGAAAAAAACTAATTTATCATATTCTATGTTTTACTATCTTATATTAATTACATATTAATTATTGTTACCTAGGATGTAAATCAAACATTACATTTTGTCCCTGATTCAGTGGTGTTGTTGCTCATCATTTCTATTTTCATTTTATTTTATATTAATATTAAAGAGAAACTTCAAAACATTTGGAGCGTTAAAGAATCATTTAAATATCTATGGTGGGTTGCAACACTTCATGTTTTCACATACCATTTTTTTTTTAAATTTCAGCATAAACTGAAGACAAAATAACATTCTGTTTACAAATTTATATTTCAGTATGTAAATGACTGTATAATGAAGAATGAAGCGCCTGCTTTTCTGTTACAAAGTAAAGACGACATACTAGGTAACGATAGCAACGCATCTTAGTTTTTTATATTTTTGGCTCTGATGCAAGCAATACTGTGATGGTTCTATATACTGTATAGCGCTTTAAATTTGCGGGGTCAAATTTTTGTGGTTTCGTATTCATTACTTATTTGCGGGTGTTAAATTTTGCTGTGCACCAGAATCCCATGTGTCGTGCAAAGTATTTTGAGTGTCATCATTTCTATAAAAGGGTTAAACCTTGAAATACAGGTAAACTGTTTGAAAACACTGAACCCAGAGTGTCGTCATCTGCCAGTGACTTCACTCGAAAGAAAATCAAATGATTATGCACCTTTGTAGGAGTAAACTGTAATTAACTTATCACCTATGGTGTACACATAAATATGTTGTGGCCACTTTTATGTAAGTGTTATTTTTACATGGACTGCCCAGTTGTCCGGTGATAACCTACCGGGTAATTTTAGTTCATTTAAGCTTGCATAACAGAGTTGGGTTATAAGTATTTCCAACATGTTGTAATAAGGTCTGTAAAAGTGGTTAACATTTTCGATAATTTCGCTGGTGTTTAGAATTCACGGATAATAGTCAAAGCGCGAAATTAACACCCCAGCAAAATAGAACCGCTTTACAGTAAATTATCTTAACCCATTCACCACTAAAGTAACATTTAAACTTTACCAAATCAAAGACTGGGCAAGTCCAGTTTTAGGGGTGAATGAGAGAAGGGAGTTTACATTTTATTTGTTATTTGTGATACCAGTTTAGAAGTTGTCATTTTAGCTTGGTTAAATAAAAAAAAAAGTTTAGAAGATTTTGTTTTAACTTCGCTCTACTGAGCTTTACAAGAAAAGACTGGGACATATTTCATAATCTGCAGTGAGATAGAATATTCAAGACGATTTTAAGCTCAGTTGCTTATGTTACGATGCAGCATGCATCCTCTGTTTATCATCAGATATTAACTTATTTAGCTTTATTCACTTGCCGAAGGGCAAGTGAGCTTATGCCATGGCGCGGCGTCCGTCAACTTTTCCTAAAAATTGCTACTAGTCATAAACAACTGAGCAGATTTTTACCAAATTTGGGCAGAAGCATCCTTAGGGGAAGGGGAACACATTAAATGGTGGGTCTGGCCCCCCTTGGGGCTGAGGGGAGGGGCCCAATAAGGGAAATATAGCAAATTCTTTAAAATCCTTCTTCTTCTGCAGGAATGAAAGGATTTGTTCCATATTTGGTCTGAAGCATCCTTGGTTATAGGGGAACAAGTTTTGTATAAACCGTGGGTCTAGCCCCTGAGAGGCCTGAGCGGCGGGGCCCAAAAGAGGAAACATAGCAAATTCTTTAAAATCCTTCATATTCTATAGGAATGAAAGCATTTGTTCCATATTTGGTCTGAAGCATCCTTGGGTGAAGGGGAACCAATTTTGTATACCATGGGTCTGGCCCCCCTGGGGCCTGAGCCCCATAGTGGAAACAGCACATTTTTTAAACTCTTTCTACTTCTGTAGGAATGAAAGGATTTGTTACATATTTAATCTGAAGCATCCTTTTGTGAAGGGGAACCAATTTTGTATAAACCGTGGGTCTGGCCCCCTAGGGGCCTGAGGGGCAGGGGCAATTGGGCTATATTGATTTAAGCAACTTCTTCTCTGGAACTAAGAGATGGATATCAACCATATTTGACTGGAAGCATCCCTCGGTAGTGGATATTCAAAATTGTACAACTGGTGTGGCTTACCCCCACCATGCTAAGGGGTGGGTCCAAAAAAAGTTCATTACTTGGAAATGGTTGAGATCCCCACGGTATAACCATATATACAATTGTGGGGTATAAAGAGAAGAATGCACATTTGCTTCCAGTATGGCCTAGGGTCTGGTCCCACCCTTTGAGACATAGTCCCTGGGTTATAACTTTGAAATGGTTGAGATCCCCACCCCAGAACTACATGTATATGAACAAATGCTTGGTATATAGAGACAAAAGTAGTCATGGTATTAGAATAGACCCTGGGGTCTGACCGAACCCCTAGGGACCTAGTTTCTTAGTCACAGCTTGGAAACAGTTGAGATCCCCACCCTATAACCATGCATATATACAATTGCTGAGTATAAAGAGATTAATGCACATATGCTTCCAGGATGGCCTTGGGGTCTGCCCAACCCTTGGAGACTTAACCCCTGGGTCATAACTTTGAAATGGTTAAGATCCCCACCCCAAGAGCTATATATACAATTGTTGGGCATAAAGAGAGGAATGCAGTCATGATATTAAAATTGACCCCAGAGTCTGCCCCACCCTTGCAGACCTAACCCCTGGGTTATAACTTTGAAACGGTTGAGATCCCCACCCCAAGACTATAAATACAAATGCTGGACAAAAAGAGACGAATGCAGTCATGATATTAGAATTGATCCTGGGGTCTGGCCACAACCCTAGGGATCTAGTTTCTGAGTCACAGCTTGGAAACAGTTGAGATACCCACCCATAACCATACATTAAATTGCTGGGCATGAAAAACCTAATACAGGCATATTACAAGAATTGGCATTGGGGTCTGGCATATTCCCTTGGATCTCATTTGGAGAATATTTTGCCATGATTGCTTTAATATCAAGGTGAGAGATACAGGCCCTCTAGGCCTGTTGTTCAAAACAACTTCTTAGGTCAACTAAGTTTAGAGTCTCTGTATTAAACTGTACATGTTTCAAACAGGAAAATAATAACTGGTTTGACAGGTAATGCACTTTTTATACCTAGGATGGCCCATACTTGTTACAAAGCAACCACAAACTAAAATGTTGGCATTTCTTAAGACGTTGTAGCTAAAGGAGGTAGTCACTAGGCCGAAAAGTCTCAAAAGCAGGCCAAAGGTTTTAACTTCATTATTTTTTCAATATTGAATGAAAGGTTTTAACTTGTGCTGCCTGCATAGATGCATAATCTGACCTAGAGCAACGAAATTGGATTTGCCAAATATGTTTGTCCTAATAATTGACCTACTTTGAAGAATACATGTTCAAATATTTATAACAAGTTAAAAGAATTTCTTCTAACGATCTAGAGTAACTTGATAGTCAGCTTGTATTTTCTATGATGAAGGACTATAAAATTAGTCAGCTTGTATTTTCTATGATGAAGGACTATAAAATTTGTTCAGGTAGATGACCTTGACCCACATTCAAGGTTGTGTGAGACAAATATGTTAAAGACTTCAAGCAATGGAATTAGCTCTAGCTTCGTTAGATGACAGGATATAAGGTTTATTAATATTAATGACCTTGACCCATCTTTAGGGATCAAAAGTGTCAAATGTGTAAAAAAGAAAAACGGATCAATAGATAAAAGTCCTAATTTAAATACAAGCAGATTCTTTTCTGTGTGTCCAGATCAACCACTGTGTATCCATGTTTTCTTTCCTTTCCAGAGAGGAGTGACATAGCTAGTCGGCCACGTCCTAGCATCCTGTCCCGTCCATCCACAGGGATGATCTCCTCCCCAACTATAAAATCACCTACATCTGTGTGGCACGTCCTCGAGCAGTTATCCTTTAAACTACAGTATGCCCAAAACGTGGAGATACCTAATGGCAGTAAGGTGAGTATTACTATAAGGTTAGTGAGAGATATTCTAACCAGTCTTTGTCCAGTGTGAGGGATTTCTAAACCAGTAAGGTGAGAAAGGTGTATTCATTTGAGGATCCCTGTACCACTGCCTAAAACAAAGTTTGGAAAAAATCTTTTCAATGACTTTTGCTTTGATAAATAATTTCTGATAAGAAAAGCATACAGGGATCTTTAAAGTAAAGTTAGACTTGGAAAAAATATAACTATGTTGTTTCTCTGTCTAAGGTGAAGTTTTATGCTGGACTGTTCTATGGTATGGAGTCCATAGAGACTATAAGTACTGAGGATATAGTCATCTCTGACAGCCAGTGTACCTGGAACCAGGAAATGGTCTTTAAGACGGAAGTTAGCGAAATCCCGCATATGTGTCGTCTGTGTATGGCTCTCCACGGACGCACCAAGGGCAAGGTCAGTGATAAGTTGATTTGAAAACTTTTTTAGGAAAATATTCTGTTAAATTTTTGTGTACTATTACAGAAGAAAAGTTGAAGTGTTTGCATTGTGAATGCTACCATTGCTTTTTACCAGATTACATGTAAATATTTATCAATCCCAAAATTGTGAAATAAACACAGTTGCATTAATGATATTTCTCGACATCGAAATCTTTTCGTGACAAGTAACACTAGAGATCTATCAATCTCAAAATCGTAAAATCAACACAGTTGCATTCAATTTCATGATTTTTCACACAATGCAAAAATAGGATTGCTTTTAATTGAAGCACTTGAGTATGTAATTATTGCTTCCTTTTCTACTAGTACTGAGTACTAGATTGATATAAGATGGCTATGTGTAACCACTTTGACATCCATTGCAGGAAAACACTTTGATCGCATGGGTAAATGTCCCACTGTTTAACTACAAGTCCCGACTGATGAGGGGTGAATATAAGTTTTCAATGTGGGGCAGATCTGATCATCAACAGCAGGATGAAAGCTTCTATCCTATAGGTGTGTATCCTTGTTGACTGTGTTTTTAGCCCACCATCATTTATCTGATGGTGGGCTATTCAAATCGCCCGTGGTCCGTCGTCCGTCGTCCATCCTTAAACAATTCTTGTTATCAGTATTTCTCAAGAAGTACATGTACCACAGGTATCTTTCTCAAATTTATATGTATGTTCCCCTTGGTCCTTAGTTATGCAGGGCAAATTTGAGACTGATAAGATAAACAACATGGCCGACAGGCAGCCATCTTGGATTTTGATAGTGAAGGTTTGTTATCACTATTTCTTTGGTAATAATGGAGAGATCCATCTCAAATTATCTATGTAGGCTCCCATAGGTCTGTAGTTGTGCATGTTTAATTTTGAGACTGATCAGATAAACAAAATGGCAGACAGGCTTCGATTTTTGACATTGAAGGTTTGTCAGTACTATTTCTCAGGAATAACTTGATATGTAGGTTCCCCTTCATCCCTCTTTGTGCATGTTATATTTTGAGACTGATCATAAAAACGAAATGGCTAAAAGAAGAACTAAACAGATCTTTCTCATATTGCAATGATCGATTCTATTTCTTTCACATTAAGTACTGTACTAGTAAATATGTGAAATGACAAACTCGCTTTGAAGGTTGTCTTTTATACACAGCAGTATTAAGTTTAGATCAAAAGTTACCTCAAGATGTATTTACTGTTAACATGACTCGATCAATCGCAGATTAGAGAAAATAAGAGAAAAGATCGATCTGACAAAGAACTAATGAAGATGGTACAATGGTGGGCGCCAAGATCCCTCTGGGATCTCTTGTTAGGACTGTCACTATATGAAATATTCCCATCACCATTCTATGATTAACAACAATGAAACTGGACAGATTTTAGAAACTGTCATTTTTGTTACAAAAAGAATGTTTATTTTCTAAATGTCTAATGCCGTTGAAAAAATGTCATGCATGTTTTTTGTTTGTTTCAAATATACGTAATTACGTTGAACAAAAGCATCTGAGGAAATGTGGCCTGTATGAAGTGGATAATAACAGCAATCCGACAGAGTTTCATAAATTAATCATTTTGCATAATTGAATATTGTACATGTATTAGATCTATGCAGCATTCTTTTATTATTGCAAACTAAAGCAGAGCTATGATTGACATTAAAGATATTTTAACTTTGCCATTATCCTCAGGCACTGTCTTCCAGAATCCTGATGAAGATGCTACCGTTCTTGCTATAACGGTCCCCAATTTTAATAGAGCTGTCCCAATTGTCTTCCCATCAGACAAAGAGGTATGTTGACAGATATAATAAAGGATCTGACCTAATATATGCTGTTTTGCCTGTTGTCATTGAACGCATGACTATGTAACCCATCTTTAGCACACCTGGTCCGAAGGACCAAGGTGAGCTTATGCCATACCGCAGCGTCCGTCGTCCGTCAACTTTACACCACTTGTCATGAACCACTGAGCGGATTTTAACAAAATTTGGTGTGGAGCATCCTATGGTGAAGAAGAACCAATTTTGTTTAAATGGTGGGTCTGAACCCCCAGGGGCCTGAGGGGCGGGGCCAAATAGGGGAAATATAGCAAATTATTCTTTAAAATCCTTTTCTTCTGTAGGAATGAAAGGATTAGGTGCATATTTGGTCAGAAGCATCCTTGGGGGAAGGGGAACAAAGTTTGTATAAATGGTGGGTCTGGCCCCCCTTGGGACTGAGGGGCGGGGCCAAATAGGGGAAATATAGCAAATTCATTAAAATCCTTCTTCTTCTGTAGGAATGAAAGGATTTGTTCGATATTTGGTCAAAAGCATCCTTGGGGGAAGGGGAACAAAGTTTGTATAAATGGCCCCTCTGGGGGTGGAGGANAGGTGCCTGAGGGGCGGGGCCCAATAGGGGAAATATAGCAAATTATTCTTTAAAATCCTTCTTCTTCTGTAGGAATGAAAGGATTGGTCCATATTTGGTGTGGAGCATCCTTGGGTTGTCGGAAACCAATTTTGTATAAACGGTGGGTCTGGCTCACCAGGGGCCTGAGGGGTGGGCCCAATAGGGGAAACATAGCAAATTATTCTTTAAAATCCTTCTTCTTCTGTAGGAATGAAAGGATTGGTCCATTTTGGTGTGGAGCATCCTTGGGTTGTCGGAAACCAATTTTGTATAAACGGTGGGTCTGGCTCACCAGGGGCCTGAGGGGTGGGGCCAATAGGGGAAACATAGCAAATTATTCTTTAAAATCCTTTTTCTTCTGTAGGAATGAAAGGATTTGGTCCATATTTGGTCAGAAGCATCCTTGGGGGAAGGGGAACAAAGTTTGTATAAATGGTAGGTCTGGCCCCCATGGGGACTGAGGGGCGGGGCCCAATAGGGGAAATATAGCCAATTATTCTTTAAAATCCTTCTTCTTCTGTAGGAATGAAAGGATTGGTCCATATTTGGTGTGGAGCATCATTGGGTAGTGGGGAACCAATTTTGTATAAACGGTGGGTGTGGCCCCCCTGGGACCTGAGGGGTGGGGCCCAATAGGGGAAATGGACGTAAATCTTCAAAATCCTTCTTCTTCGGTAGGAATGGCAGGATTTTGTCCATATTTGGTCTGAAGCAATCTTGGGTGAAGGGGAACCAATTTTGTATAAACAGTGGGTGTGGCCCCGCTGTAGCCAGAGAGGTGGGGCCCAATAGGAAATATAGCAAATTATTCTTTAAAATCCTTCTTCTTCTGTCGGCATCAAAGGATTTGGTCCATATTTGGTCAGAAGCATCCTTGGGGGAAGGGGAACAAAGTTTGTATAAATGGTAGGTCTGGCCCCCATGGGGACTGAGGGGCGGGGCCCAATAGCGGAAATATAGCAAATTCTTTAAAATCTATCTTCTTTTGTAGAAGGAAGGATTTGTTCCATATTTGGTCTGAAGCATCCTTGGGTGAAAGGGAACCAATTTTGTATAAACCGTGAACCTGGCCCCCCAGGTGCCTGAGGGGCGGGGCCCAATAGGGGAAATATAGCCAATTATTCTTTAAAATCCTTCTTCTTCTGTAGGAATGAAAGGATTTGGTCCATATTTGGTGTGGAGCATCATTGGGTAGTGGGGAACCAATTTTGTATAAACGGTGGGTGTGGCCCCCCTGGGACCTGAGGGGGGGGGCCCAATAGGGGAAATGGACGTAAATCTTCAAAATCCTTCTTCTTCGGTAGGAATGGCAGGATTTTGTCCATATTTGGTCTGAAGCAATCTTGGGTGAAGGGGAACCAATTTTGTATAAACAGTGGGTGTGGCCCCGCTGTAGCCAGAGAGGTGGGGCCCAATAGAGAAAATAGAGGTAAAACCTTTAAAATCCTTCTTCTACCATAGGGATTAAGGGATTTTATCCTAATTTAGTCTCGAGCATCCTTGGGCCAAGGGGACTCAATTTTGTATTAGCAGTAGGTGTGGTCTCCGAGGGGGGGGCAGAAGGGCGGGGCCCAATAGGAAAAATAGAGGTAAAACCTTTAAAATCCTTCTCCGACCATCGGGATTAAGGGATTTTATCCTTATTTAGTGTGGAGCATCCTTGGGTGACGGTGACTCAATTTGTATAATTGGTGGGTATGACCCCCTAGGGGCATAGGGGTGGGGCTCTATTTGAAGGTTGTTCTCTATATCTCAAGTACTGGATGGATCTTTCTGAAATTTCATATGTTCTAACAGCACCTACCATGGAGTGCTATATCTTTACTTCATACCAATTACTTTAATTATATTCAGGTGAGCCGTACAGGCCCTCTGGGCCTCTTGTTTTCAATAACCTGCATACTTTTGGTATTTAGACGCGGGGCAGACAACCAGATTATTGCACTATTGAAGAAAACATGATATTTGCTCCACTCTAAGCCTTTTTTTATGTAATTAATATAATGTAGCATATACTGTCACACTAATTTTGTATGATTTTTGGGTCTGGCTGCACAGTAGACCACATCTTTACTGAAGGAATCCAATCAATTAGTAAACTTATAGAGTTTATAATTAGCATATTGCAATACAGGATTTTTTTGATTTTTTTTTGAAACTACACAAGAAAGTCAGAATACAATACAGTAAGATATATCATTGCAGCCCTGATAATGTATAAGATAGCTTTTGTCTTTATGGGAGATAACACTAACAAAATCACAGGTTAATTAGGGCTACATTTGCATATCCCAGGTGAAACAGTATGTGTGTCACAGAAATATTCCACGATAAATGAATGCACTTGGACCGCTCTATAAGCAGAGCTAAAGATGCACAGTTTTGTAGAAAAAAAATCAATGTATCAAGAATAGTATGCCCTTCTTTCATCCGTTCACTGAATTACATAACATGTCTTAAAAACTCTTAAAAAGACTTGACATTGTTTTAGAAGGAAATGACGCAAACTGGCAAATATTTCAGCATTATAGTTTCGGTCAGGTACGTCTGGACCCCTCAATCTACATGTGCCTAATTTTCCTGAGGTCAGCCCCGGTTAAGTTCTGTGCCTCGTTTTCTTTACAGGTTCAACTGGTTCAATCGTTTTAACCGGATATGCCAAAGTACCCTATGTTTGGTAGCTTATACATCCATAAACTATTCTATCTTGTCGATGTTGTAGGTGCTGCAGTGTGCCAGTGACAACATGGAGGATCCCGACAGCCTTGGGTCACCAGTAAGTATGCCATGTGTTAGTAGGTGTCTAAGGAAATTCAGTGTAAAGCAGAATCTGAAGAAAAGACTTGGTTCAGAAATCTCAACCAGATACTATTAAATTAACTGATAAAAATATCCCACTGGAATCCAACAGGATTTTTCAAGACACAGATTTATGTCACAGAAACCGATAAGAATTTATCATCGGACTCCTTATCCGATTGGATTTTTACTGAATTTTGAAGAACCCGATCAGAATCAATCTGAATTTCACTTTTTCCAATCAGAATAGGACTGAAAATTTCCTTTGACCATAAAATTGCTGTGATCCTGACTTTCAGACGTGGCACCCAAGTAATTCTCACCTCATCCAGCTGCAGCAGATCCTGGAAAATGACTCGACTAACATGTATCAGCTGGTAGAACAGGAAAAGGAATTGGTGTGGCTACTGCGTTATGAGTGTCGCGACAACTACCCACACGCACTTCCTCACCTCCTGTCCTCGGTTAAATGGTACAACTACAAAGATGTTGCCAAGGTAACTATCCACTAGTGATAAGATTAGTTAATGAAAAAATCAGCAAATATGGTAGGTTTTCTGAAATGACAAATCAAAATGAATTCATATTCATTTCATATTAATATCGGTTCTTCAGAAAGGATGTTATTTTAAGGTCTAAATAGATGATAATGATAAAAGCCCAATGGATTGTAAGAGCCACTATTAGGATTGTCAAACCAGACCAATTTTAGTAACCTATTACTCGGTAACAGGTTAATCTGTCAGTTCAGTAATCAAACAATAAACAATAAAAATGTTAAATAGCAATTGTTCCATTCAAAATAAATGTACACTTCCTATATATTAACTGTTCACCATAATTTACTCCTGTATTTCAAGCTCTCAACACCTTAACGCAGGAAATATAAAGAATATTTTATTGACAACAGTGGTCAAGATAAAGTGGAAAACAAGTTATTTCTACTCGCTTTTGTTTATATTTCACTGATATCATTCAATTTGGTACTCCTTGAGATTATAATCATCCCACCCTTAAAAGTGAGTTGGCATTTTACAGTAATGAGGTCAAAGGTCAACTGTAAGTGCTAGTCGGGGGTCAAACGTTAACATAGGTTAAAAGCTTTAACAATCTTCTTCTAAAGTTCCATAAGGCCCAAGGTCATGATATTTGGTCAGTAGCTACCTGGGATGGAGTGCTATAAGGTTTCCTCTTTAAAATGACCTTGAAAGAAGGTCAAATACGTAAAAATAAACTTCAAACAATGATATCCTAAGAAGCATTTGGTCTAGAGTCATGATACTTGGGTATGTTATGAAGACCTGAGTGAGCTGTGAATCATTTTCTTTATTACAGTAATGAGGTCAAATGTCAACTTTAAGTGCTAGCCGGAGTCAAAGGTCAACGTGGGTTAAAAGCTTTAAAATTACAATTTCAAATTTCAAACAACAATATCTTGAAGAGATGTTAAAATGTCTTGTGTTCTAGATACAAAATTTGGTCTGAAGTTACCTATATGTCAGTTTCATGTGACAAAAGAAAAAGGTGAGCGATACAGGCCCTCTGGGCCTCTTGTTATTGGTAAATGACACTTTTTATAGCTGCTTATATAATGAACTAACTCAATTCACTCATGAAATTTCATAATGAACCATTCCAACCTTTGAATTGGAAGGGTTCAAATGTGTCTACGGGATGAATGAGTTAAACAATAGGGAAGCTTGATTATATAGTTTTCATGAACTTTGCTGTTGTGAACCTGTAAACCATACACGTAAGGTCAGTAAACTCCCAGTATATTTGGACAGATGCAGGCCCTCCTACAGACTTGGAGACAACAACCAGTTGATTGTGCTCTTTCACTACTAGACTTCAACTTCCCGGACAGAAATGTTCGCAAGAAAGCCATTGACTGGTTAAACGATACACTCAAGTAAGTTATACCATATTTTACCTAATAAGCGCATTATCTGCTTACATAAACACCAGAAGAATGCCCACAAAATATTGATTTCATGCTCAAACACTAATGAAAGTGATTGTGTTAGCAATCAGTTGGGCTTGAAAAAATTCTGCATTCTTTCAAAAGATTTGGTTAACTTTTTTGAGGCCTGAGGTTAAAAGTTTTAGGGCAAGTTAGAGTCACCATCGATAGGCTGTTGTCTATTATAAGGTTGAAGTATTTAACTGGTTAGTTGGTCTTGGTTAAAGTTTTTAGGCAAGTTTACATGTGCAGTGTTGGATCTGTCACCACCATTAATACGCTGTTGACTATTTCACGTTGTGTCATCATCTCTTCTTTTGAAATGTACAACATGTTAATAGGTACAGCAAAACCTTGTTATATTGCCACCATTTCTTCAGAGAACGTTTGGGCATTATAAAGGGGTCTGGCAATAAATTGAGGGAAACATAAAGGAATTCTCAAGAAAAACATAATAAAGGAACTGAAAATATGTTGGCTGTAACCAAGGTGGCAAATGAAATGACGGGCATTACATCAATGTTTTACTGCACATTTGTTTCTATTGATATTTGCTATCTTACAACATATATCACAAATAGGCGAGCTATGCTGTTCTCCAACAGTTCTTGTTATGGGTTGTAATTAAGTGCACCCACTCTCTTTCACAGAAAAAAGGTGGGGGTGAGTTAATAGGGGCAGGTGCACTTATTAGGTCAAATAAGGCAACAAATAACTATTGAATGACCAGACAAGAAACTCCCATAAGTAGCTGTTAAAACAAAAGGTCATTGGCAGTAGAACTGTTTCAACAGACGACCTTTGACTGGCCAGTCATTAAGTGCCATAAAATGTCTAAAGGCAAGTATTAAGGTCTCTTACCTTCCTCAGCTTTGTCTGACTGCAAATAAGTTAGAGTATATGAAGTAAAAAAAATGGCTCGGCTAATTGATACTTGTTTCAAAAATGGCACCATTTACAGTTCAGCAAAACACTACGATGACAGTATTGCACGGTTCCTTCTACATCTAGATACATGGAACATATTCAGGATCCATTATGTCGAATTATACAACAAAGGGATGTTGCCGAACTTCTTATTCCATCAATGCACATTCAAATTTCTTCAATAGTAAAGTAAACAATGGCAGCTTCATTCTGGAACATTTGACCTGTCTCTACCAGAACCATGTGTCAATGTATGTACGTAATGGCCGATATAAATGAATAAAATGTTGAAAGGGCTACTCAGTTTAATTAATTCAAAATTTAAATGCTATGAGAAGAAGAAAATGGTGTTGTTCACTGTATTTTTCTTTACTTACCCATATATCAATGTAGGTTTTATGGAACTATATTATCCTAGCAACCACAGCTACTATAGTTAACATCATAGCAACCAAAGCTACTAAAGTTACCATCATAGCAACCACAGCTACTATAGTTATCATATAGCAACCACAGCTACTATAGTTACCATCATAGCAACTACAGCTACTATTGTTATCATCATAGCAACCAAAGCTACTATAGTTATCATCATAGCAACCAAAGCTATTATAGTTACCATCATAGCAACCACAGCTACTATAATTATCATCATATAGCAACCACAGCTACTATAGTAATCATTATATAGCAACCACAGCTACTATAGTTACCATCAAAGCAACCACAGCTACTATAGTTATCATCATAGCAACCAAAGCTAATATAGTTACCATCATAGCAACCACAGCTACTATAGTTATCATCATATAGCAACCACAGCTACTATAGTTATAATCATATAGCAACCACAGCTACTATAGTTACCATCCTAGCAACCAAAGCTACTATAGTTACCATCATAGCAACCAAAGCTACTATAGTTACCATCATAGCAACCACAGCTACTATAGCTACCATCATAGCAACCACAGCTACTATAGTTACAATCATAGCAACCACAGCTACTACAGTTACCATCATAGCAACCACAGCTACCTTAGCTACCATCATAGCAAACAAAGCTACTATAGTTACCATCATAGCAACCAAAGCTACTATAGTTACCATCATAGCAACCACAGCTACTATAGTTATCATCATATAGCAACCACATCTACTAAAGTTACCATCATAGCAACCACAGCTACTATAGTTATCATCATATAGCAACCACAGCTACTATAGTTACCAGCATAGCAACCACAGCTACTATAGTTACCATCATAGCAACCACATCTACTCTAGTTACCATCATAGCAATCACACCTACTATAGCTCCCATCATAGCAACCACAGCTACTATAGTTATCATCATATAGCAACCACATCTACTAAAGTTACCATCATAGCAACCACAGCTACTACAGTTACCATCATAGCAACCACAGCTACCATAGCTACCATCATAGCAAACAAAGCTACTATAGTTACCATCATAGCAACCAAAGCTACTATAGTTACCATCATAGCAACCACAGCTACTATAGTTACAATTATAGCAGCCACAGCTACTATAGCTACCATCATAGCAACCACATCTACTATAGTTACCATCATAGCAACCACAGCTACTATATTTATCATATAGCAACCACAGCTACTATAGTTACCATCATAGCAACCACATCTACTATAGTTACCATCATAGCAACCACATCTACTATAGTTACCATCATAGCAACCACAGCTACTGTAGTTACCATCATAGCAACCACAGCTACTAAAGTTACCATCATAGCAACCCACTTAAAATGTGTTTTCTCTGTATACCATTTAAACTATTTTTGAAAGTAAGTATAAAGATTGACCTTCATTTTAATGCCAACTTCGTTCATACAGCTGTATACGCCATCAAAGTGAATGTCAATCCTTATTTGAATGACCAGACAAGAAATTTAGCTGTTAAAACAAGACTGTTTATTGGCTGGAGGAGAAACTCTCAAAAGTATATAGTAACTGTTTCAATAGCAGACTTTTGACTGGCCAGTCTTTTGGTGCCATAAAATGTCTGATATTATGGGATGTCTTATAGTCAGGTGTTGATAAAGTCAAGTGTCACTATACTGTTTGTTTTGTGTTAATTACAGTGACAATGAACTGTCCCAGTACATGCTACAGTTGGTGCAGTCCTTGAAGTTTGAGGCCTACCTCTTCTCTGATCTTGCCACCTTCCTGTTGGAGAGATGCCTGTGTAACCAGCACCTCGGACATCAGTTGTTTTGGCTTCTCAAGTAAGTCTTACTCGATTACTTACTTAGCCCTCTCACCCCTATGTAACTTTAGTAAGCTCTACCATGCAATGATCTGGAGGGGTCCATTATGGTCCACAGTGGTGAAAGGGTTAGAGTTAGTTTCCAGTATAGAACCTCTATAGGTCCTCTCCACTGGACTTGTCTAACTGCTTAGCATGCCTGCTACTCATAATCATACAATATACTCTGTAGAGTTAGCCATAAATATGTTAGTAGTATACAATTCACTGTATATTTATGATACAGACTATAGGCAGACTATTGCAAGTCTATGATACAGTCTATAACCACTTTTGTGTATTGTGTATTACATACGTCATTGATTATGTGAACACTGTATTAAAGCACATGGCATGGACTGACGGACTGCCTCATCGTCTTGTATCCAAAACTACAATTCGTATTAAGCATAACATCCTCCTTAGTTCAGCATCACTGAATAATTAGCATCTCAGCTACTTATTCAAACATTACAGCTTTTGAATAGACATTAATGATATAACAGAATGTGTAGCAAGTAAAATAAAACTTTTTGCAGATGATACTTCTCTCTATGAAGTAATAGACAACAATCAAAATGAAATTGCAGTGAAATTAAATAATGATCTAAGTAATATTAATGCATGGGCAAAAAAATGGGATATCAAATTTAATTCACTAAAAACTGAATCTGTAATCTTCTCAAGGAAAAGGGAACTAAATCATCCAGATATCTTATTTGGTAATGAAACTGTAACTAACAAACAAACTCATAAGCATCTTGGTTTAACTTTTAGTAGTGATGGAAAATGGACATATCATATTGACAATATTTATGAGCTAGCTTATAAAAGAATGAATGTATTGAGAATGTTAAAACACAAATTGGATAGAAAAAGTCTTATAGCAATATATACCTCTTTTATTAGACCAATACTTGAATATGGGGATGTAGTATGGGATAACTGTAGTAACCAAAATAAAAATATTCTTGAGTCAATCCAGCTAGAGGCATTAAGAATTATTACAGGATTACGTAGAGGGACCTCTCATTGTAAGCTTTATGCAGAAACTGGACTTGAATCACTTTGTTGTAGGCGAAAAAATCATAAATTAGCACTCATGTTCAAAATTTTGAATAAGTACTTAGAAGACATCATTGAACCATACCTTCACGGCAATATAAATGTAAGATACCCACTAAGAAATAGCCGTATTTTCAATCCCCCTTTCTGTAGAACTGAGAATTATTTCAATAGTTATTTTCCCTCAATGTGTAGAGAATTTAACCTTCCATCTGCAGAAACTTTAAATGCTTCTTCCCTTCAACAATTTAAAAATTTCATCAAATCTGATAATATGAACAACACTGAAGAAATTGCTAGCACATTTAAATACTATGGGCCAAGAAAATTCAATATCATAATTTGTCAGCTAGAAATCATGCTAGCCACCTAAATAGTGACTTATATATGGATCATCTGAATGACTCACCAGCATGTAGATGTGGACATGATAATGAAAATGCATTTCATTTTATATTTGAATGCCCACTCTATAACAACTTTAGAATGCAATTAGTAATAAAAAATTCTCAATTTGGTATAACTGGTAATCATGATCATTTTAATCTAAAAACTCTAATAAAGGGATGCTTAATATGCAGCGCTGATAATAACATATCCATTTTACAAAGTATATCTGACTACATTTGTCAAACTAATAGGCTTGATATGTAATCTCACTCACAGCAAAACTTTACATTGAAAGTGATGCTATTATTTATAGTGTCATGATCACTCTGCTAATAAGTATTGATACTGGTGTATATCTATCTTCACAACATCTCTGGTATTCGGCTGGATTGGATG